ATACTCAAGGTGTGGCCTCACCAACGCAGAGTACAGGGGAAGGATCACTTCCCTGCTCCTGCTGGCCACACTGTTCTTGATGCAGGCCAGGATGCCATTGGCCTTCTTGGCCACCTGGGCACACTGCTGGCTCATGTTCAGCCTCCTGTCGATCAGCACCCCCAGGTCCCTTTCTGCCTGGCTGCTCTCAAACCACTCTGTGCCCAGCCTGTAGCGCTGCAGGGGGTTGTTGTGGCCAAAGTGCAGGACCCGGCACTTGGCCTTGTTGAACTTCATCCCATTGGAGTCAGCCCATCTCTCCAGTCTATCCAGATCCCTCTGCAGAGCCCTCCTGCCTTCCGGCAGGTCGACACTCCCTCCCAACTTTTCACCTTTTGGTGAAGGAATTTTTCCTGACATCCGATCTAACCCTCCCCTGATGCATTTGAAGCTGTTTCCTCTTGTTCAGTTACTTGGGAGAAGAGGCTGACCCCCACCTCACTACATTGTCCTTTCAGGTAACTGTAGATAATACTGTGCCCCCCCTCATCTGCCTTTTCTCCAGGTTAAACCATCTCAGCTATCTCAGCTGCTTCTCATAAGACTTGTGTTCCAGACCCTTCACCAGCTTTACTGCTCTGCTCTGGACATGCTCCCATCTCTGTGTCTTTCTTGTAGTGAGGGACCCAAAATTGAATGCAGTAACCTCACCACATCCTTGTAGTCCTTCAGAGTTGCCAGCTGCTTCTTCCAAAAGTCATAACCCCTGTTTTTTCCCTGAGTTCCAGCCAAAGCTCCCTGCTCAGCCAGACTGGTCTTCCCTGCCACGTTATCTTTTGGCACAGGGGAACAGCCTGCTCGTGTAACTTAAGATTTCATTCTTGAAGAATGTCCAGCCCCTTTGCCTTTCAGGACTGCCTACCGAGAGACTCTGTCAACCAAACCCCTAAACAGACCAAAGTCCACCCTCTGGAAGTCCAAGGTAGCAGTTCTGATGGCAGCCTCCTTACTTCTCCAAGAATCAAAAACTATCATTTCATGATTGCCGTGCCCAATGGCACGGCCTCCAGTCATCACATCACCTGCCAGCCCTTCTTTGTTCATAAACAATGCATCCAGCAGGACACCTTCCCTAGATGGCTCACTTCCTTTGCAGAATATGGAGAAGCTTCATGAGTTAGCAAAATTAATTGTAGATTTGACCACTTTTTTGAGGAAATTGTTTGCAGAGATTTATTTTGTTTGCTTTAATAAATAGCTGGTTTTATAATAGCTTGTATCCTATATCTACCATACAATATTGCATGCTGCTTGTAGCTTCAGTGAACACAGAGGCATTATTACTTAAAGATCCAGCAAACTACTTTCTTAATATGAAAAAAACCCATAGTCTTTATTCTCATTTTTTTTTAATTTTAATTATAAAATGTCTGTTTAATTGCTGTTTGTTCTAGTGAATGGTAAATGATTTGGATTTTCTTTTCTCACAGTGTCATGGAGCTATATTAGCTGGCAATGTCATATTATATAACATTTGCCTTCAATTTTCTTAGGAAGAATAAATTCTTTGTTTAAAGATGGTTTTGGTATTTGTATGTGTTATTTACTACCAAATGCAAAGAAACAAGTTTTCCAATAATCTAGAATAATGCGGGAAAAGATAACATTTTCATTGATGCAGATCCAGCCATCTGGAAATAGAAAGATCCTTCTTCAGATGCTATAGCAGAACTGTAATTCAGTCATTGAAGGATTTAAGTAGACTACTTGAAAAGTGTCAGAGAAACTGAATTTTTAGATAGTACAATACATCTGTTTCTCAAATGTAAAAAAGACTAAGATGAAGCCTGTGTCATTGAATTACATTTTGAAATGATTGAAAGCATAATTAAACATTCACTGTTAAATAAGTAACTGAGAGAAGGGTAAACTTCCCTAGCATCCTTTAAAAAATCCCTTTGGTACATAGAACTGTTTAATCAGGGAAAAAATCTTTCAAAGAGTGAACAAAACAAGAAAGATGTGGAGAAAAAATATCCACATTATATGGAAATTATTATATGGGAATTATACGGAAAAAATTGCTCTAAAGTGTGTTTTAGTCTTTGCTCCCCCATAAAATTCTGGATTGATTTAATTCATATAGAAGTCAATTTATTATGCTTAAAAATGTGAGGTTTGAAAACTGTTATTTTAGCAAGTATAATGATAGGTGTCACTGTAGATTGAATTCATTGATCGAAGTTATACTTGGCAGTCATTCTAATTTTCTGCTATTTTCCTAAAGTGAAGGATGTGTGTTAGAGGATCCCTTTGAATGGTTTCTTTAGTATATAAAGCTGAATGCTTTGCTTGGTGCTTTTCATTTGGCTATGATACTAATAACCCCATGTGTATACTTTGATTGCCTGGTTTACATTGCAAGTCTTATATGTATATGGTTTTCATGACTATGTATAACTCAAAGTCTTTCAGAATTCTATTTTTCCTTGTGAAGCACTGGAATGTTTCCTTTGACTTAAAAGGATTAGGGGAATGCACTGATGGCTGCTATACTTAGGCACACCATTTTGTTCTTCACGTTCACCATC